GGTGTGTGTGTGTGCGTGATGGTGTGTGTGTGTGTGTGTGCGTGATGGTGTGTGTGTGTGTGTGTGTGTGTGTGTGTGTGTGTGTGTGTGTGTGTGTGCGCGCGTGTGTGTGTGTGTGTGTGTGTGTGTAAGAAATAATAAGAAAGAGCCCAGCTCAAACCCTGAAGCCTTGAAATGTTACCAGAGCATATGATAGCCATGTGATGACACACTCGTACCAAATGAAAAAATGATTCCAGTAATCACATTTTCTGTTAACAAATAACACTGTATGCAAATGTATGCGGGTGAACACAAATGTCTATTTGTTTTTGTACGCACAAACATTAAATCATCTTAACGTCACTAAACCAGAGGAACTAATCAAAAACAATCTATTAGGAATCTATTAGCTTGGCAATGGGTAATCTGATAAGCTCGCTGAAGTCGCTTCCCATAGGAGAGTGTGCATGAGAATCTCGTGCTGTCTGCATTCTTCACAGTAGATTAGTTAATTTGATAATAACTCACATATTTATACACATTTACACTCTGCGTTTGGTATAACGAAGATGAAGAAGATCCTCACATCCGGTCGTTTATAGAGATTTAAGGGAATGATCGCAGAGATGTGTCTTGTTTAAATATGTGTCCTACTATGCAAGTGTAACTCTCTGTTCCTCATTCCTGCCACTTTATGACTTATAGGGTTATGAAGCTTCCATTTGTGGTTGGTAATAGCTTGTGGAGAAGCTGTATAGCCATTTAAAGACAGCCCTTTTGAAGCCAAGGCATGTACTGTGAGCTGCTGGGCTTAATTGGAAGGAAATTAGTGTGCTAGACGTGTTTTGTTAGCGTGTGTGTGCCTGTTTGTAAGATACAGCCACTGTGGGCCAAAGGTAATCTATGCCCGCTGTGACACTGATGCCTAACCCTCTGGACACCGTGCCGCCGTCCAACGTGCCCCAGCTTGTGTCCAAGTGTGTATGTACCTGCATGAATGCGCTCATTCTGGCTTGTTAGTTTGAGATATGACATCCCCTCTGGTGTCAACATATGTGTGTGTATGTGTGTGCCTGTTTAGCCAGAAGTGCGCGTGCCCATGGAGCCTTGGCATTGCGCCATCCACCAGGTGTGATTTTGGCAAAAATATATTAGGCATGGACACAGCTTTTCCAGGACTCTGGATCCTCGATTTATACATTTTCTCTTTACAGGTACATCATACAGAACACAGTTGTCATTTGTTTGATGTTTAATTAGTATTAAAGGCCAATACAATACACTTGACAGTGTGACAAAAAAACTTGGACCTGGCTGATTAAAAATAAACTTTATATTTCTCAACATGGCATTATACAAAAACATTTAGAAAAAATTATAAGAATATAACTTTGCACATATATGAAAAGCAGGGATTCTTTGATGTTCTTCCCAAGATGTCTAATGGAGATGACCTAGAAACAGGCCGTCCTCCCTTGGATCATGTGAGCATCCCAGCCTGCATCCATACTCTTTTAATCTTCGCTTAAAAATGGAATCCAACATGGTGCATTTATTATTCATCTGCCTCGCTCTTACTTTTGCTTGTGTCTCCTTTCTTCTCCCAGCTTTCTTTCCTCTCCTACTCACTTTGCCTCATTAACCCCTGGTAGTAGCAAATTAGCATGGGAACTCAGAGGTAGTGAATGAGTGCCGTGCAGCGCGGTCACACGCTGTTGGAACGGCCTGAAGTGCATTAGCGCTGAGATTATCAAGGGCTGAACTGTTTTCATCAATGGCATTAGCTTACAGGAGTGCACTGTAACTTATCCAGCGCTTTAAAAGTGATAAGCACTTAACATTTTGCACTGCATTGGTGAAATTACTCTGTAATAGTTGACATTTAAGAAGATACATTTGTCAAGATTTGCATTATACTACAATCAAATTGCAGTAATTCATAGTGTGCCTTAATGTTGCCAGTGCTTGGTGGACGGGTAGGACATATGGACCATTAGGGTACATGAGGCTCTTGTAGGATAATGGTGTTTAGTCGGAGACACCGGTTTAATGAGACTACGTGGGGGGATTTGTAGGTAGGATATCGGGGGCATACAATCTTTTAAGACGACCCCTCATTACTGTCTACCTTAACAACCAAAGTGATACGACCCATTTTCTGAGGTGTGAAAGTATGTGTATATGCAAGGTTGTTACTTTTACACGCAAACTTCTAACATGTATGTGCATTTCCATGTCTGTTCTAAGTGTGTACATGTGTGTGCTCTGCCCTTCTCTTTAATGAGAGAAAATGATTAGAGAAAAATAGGGATCACTACATCTCATCTCAACGTGCACATACAACGCTCAGCTATTATCAGGGAAGAGAATCTTTGATCACAGACGGAGAGAGACAGGCAGAGCGGAAAGAGAATATGTGAGCAGCAGATGAAACGGAGAAAATGAGAGAGATAGAACAGGAGCATAGCAGCGACATGAAGAAGAAATTGGATTATTGCTTTTTATTAATTCATAACTGTAGTTTTACAGTGGCGATTTGAGTTGGACTGAGAGTTATGAATGCCTTTTAAATATTCTTTAAACTTATCATATCCAACAACCTATATGGCTGTTTCTCTCGCACTTTTAAAAACAGAATAGTGGCAGCATTCAATGCCTGAAATCACACCTGCATCTTATATTCACTGTGTGAAATTCAGCAATGACAAAATACAGGTTTTGAGTTTGTCTCTGTTTATAAATGTGTGAGAGGGAGATGCTTCATTAGGTTGAGTTTAGCCACACTTAAAGGACATGAAAACAGATGGGAGAAAGACTTGGGCTTGCAATGATGGGAGATAATGGATATCCACATGCTTCAGCAGTATGCACACATATGGAGACACACTCATTCTCAAAACTTAACGAACAGTATCCAGCACACATCTACACACTGTGGTAGCTGCCTCCCTTACAGAACAGACCAGAAACCATGCAACAGTAACCTCTATATATGGGAGCTAGCTGGCCGGATAGCTTCTTTGATTAAGTTGATGTCATGCTAGGTTGCATGCTAAGAGAGGGTACTTGTGTTGAGGAAGAGAAAGATATACTGTATATGCTTGGCTTGTGACACTCGCATTATGGTATAACGGGGCTATATGTAATCCAAAAAACGCCATTTAAAAGCTGTTCTGTCACGATAGAGAAGAAACAGCCGCAGAAGATGACACATTTTGCCGTTAATTTGTGAACATGCTGATAAGATTGGATGAGTGACGGCGCTCTGGGAAAGAGCTAAATTAAGTGGAAAAACACAGTGTGAAATGCAAAGTGTAAATTATCAGTTTTGTCCTAAGCGCCCCAGTCTTTACTTCTATTCCCTCTACCGTATCTGATCCCTTTCATCATTTTCCACATCTCCTTTCCCCCGTCTTTCTCATCCGTTCCGCGTTTGTGTGACCGCATGCAGTTGTGTGAACTAATGACCGAGGACTACCAAACGCCAGAACAAAGCCAGCCTTTGTGCAGATGCCCGGGCCATACAGCTCGTGGCGCGGCTGACTGAGCCAAATGATGACACACACTCAACAAACAAACTCCACACACACAGGAACAAAGTGACTCTGCTACACTTTATAATAAGGATTTTGAAGTTTAAAATCTTATCAAGCTGAAAGAAAACACACATATTGAGAGTGAGAGAACCATTTTGTTCCCTCATCACTCATCCATGACTACATCTACTACTCAAATATTATTGCTGTGTTTGCACACAGTTTGTTTATTCATTTTTGGGTGGAGGTCCTGTCTGTAAGAGCTGGGAGGTGGACACAGACATTTAAATGCAAAACACAAACACGTGCACACACACAAACACGTGTGCACACACACACAAACACGTGTGCACACACACACACACACGTGTGCACACACACACACACACACACACACACACACACACACACACACACACACACACACACACACACACAGCCTCAAAACAGTTCACATGCTCCCATTGATTAGACAGGCCTCATATGTCTGACACATCACGTTAGCCAGGCTTTCCATCAATTACTGTCCTCTCTTGGCCAGCTAACACCCCATCTACTGTCACTATGAGTCCCCAATTCTATCAGACCCACTGCCCACACACACACACACACACACACACACACACACACACACACACACACACACGTAATGATGTCATAATGTGAGACAGTACAACTTAAATTAAATCGCCATGTCAACCAAGAGTACATCCGACCCAATTCTCCCTCTGTAACATTAAGGTGCAGTTACCCAGGTTTAATCTAAGAACCATTCCTCTGTTGCCCTCCAAAAAATGTATCTGAAAGTGGGACTCCAACATAACACAGATATTACAAAAATCTATCCATCTACCTTAGCTCTATTCCTCGACCAACCTGAATTATTCCACAGCTGACCAGAAGAGAAAAGCCATTGACCTGTCAACGCTGTTGGACTGATTGAAGGCCAGCTCTTAAAATGAGAGGTGAGGCAGTACGTGGCGTGGAGATACAGCAGTAACGTTTTATGTGTGACGTGACTCACATGCGAATCAATGAGAGGAGTAGCCACAGACTCGCTTTAAATTGCTTGTTAAACAAATAGGTTTTAAATAGGCACTTGAATCTCCTGTTGAAGGTGTCCACTACCGAGAAAAATGGAGTTGACAGCGTTTAATCTTGGCGTAAAAAAGTGCCTGCTAAGTGCCGAGCGTTAAAGTACAATGATTAAGCTGCAAGCACACAGTTCATTAGGAGAACAATAACTAACACTGGCTGAAAAGCTGCTTGCCATTCTAAACCGAAAAAATTGATTGTTTCCATCTTTCTCTGAATGTCCTTGAAATTACAAGCACCAAAAAAGCAAGTTTGTCCTTCACGTGACTTATAGGCAATTTCTCTTCAACTACAGTGCTCAAAAGCAAACAAAAAAACAACCAATATCTAATTTAATTGGAATAGAAAATGAGAAACGTATAAAAAATAAAAAAAAATCTTTCCTACCTTCTTAAGTTTTCCGTTCCGCGTGCCAACAAAAGCCACGGTGTTCCCATGGTAATCGTACGCTGCTACGGAGGTCATGCCATCATCTTTGTCGATGAAGAGGGGGATGCCCTCGATGGTGCTGGTTCCCCCCAGAGGCTGGTTGAAGTCCTGACCGCAGAAGTTATCGTCTATCTGCAGTGGCTGGAGGAAGGAAGAAAATACAACTATCAGACAAGACAATTTACAGCAATCAGTTTGTTCTTTCATCAGAAAAAAACACAAATGCTAGTAGTGAAAGATTATTTTCATGTGTTAATGAGGTTTTCGTGTATAAAATGCGTATTAAGATGTTTTGTATTCCCCCCAAAAAAATGATTGTGTAATTTTTGTCTTAGTTACTATAAATAATGACCTTTTAGTATTTTAAAAGGGAGCAGGCAATGAAACATAACAAAAGTCTAGAAAAGTGTGGCATCTGACTTCAACGCTTTTACTTGACCTCTCTACATGTTAAGCAGCATATTCAAACAGTCATAAACAAACCCTTTTCTCTCCCCAACTAAATCCCACCGTGAAAACCTTTAACATATTGTAATGTGTTCAGTCACGGTGGTGACATGGCGGTAGGGCTGGTGACCATGTGACAATATCTGGAGCATACCCATGTCACGAGGGGCCCGTCGCCCCAGGCAATCCACTGACCCACATGATGCCTTAACCAGCCGCCACACAAACTGCATATTTGGGTTAAAGTGCCATAGACAATGGATGGTTTATTAAACTAACATATTTTGTTCTTTTGTTAATAAATTGACAATAAGTGCGAAGTCACGGAAAACAAGTGATTCTTCAATTACACAACAAGTCTTATCTTTTTTCAGCATTTCTAAATTTGAGAATTTTCCATGGCTTTAATCTTTGGGTTTTTCACAAAATTAGCATTTTAAAGACAACATTTATGAGGGATTATAAAAATCATAGCTACTATCCCAAGGTTTGATCATTAAAACCTTTGCGTGATAATAAAAAATATATTTTTGGATGCTGCTCTGGCAATATAGCAGGCCTGAGTGTGTGTCAGACTGGAGGTTGCTGACTGACTGCTAAAGTGTGGTACTGAATGGCGTCAGTGTGTGTCAACCAGAGCCAACAGACGCAAGTGTGTGCAAGTACACACACACACACACAAACTTAGGGAGTGTGTAAATGGCGGTGTAATCCACAGTATTATCACTACATCATCTGATTGATCCACACGGGAGAGAAGATAACACCCCCCCCCACACACACACACACACTGTGTCTCTCTCTCTCTTTCCCGATCTACCTAAATTGCCTGCAGCTCTGCACATGTCAATAAGCCGTTATTCTGCCTTTTTCTACTTTCTCACTCTTTCTCTTCTTCTCCTTCCAGCTGATACAGTAACTGAGCAAACATCAATATCCCTTCTCTGTCCTTTTTTACCTCCTTCCTTCAATCTCTTCAGGCCTAATCGCCCTGCATCACTCTCTTCATCCCTCCCTCCTTGGCAGGTCTCCCCCTCTGCCTCTCGTTCTTCTGTCCCTCACAAACCCTCAGTTTGTACCTTATATTCACCTAAGAATGTAAATGTGTGTGTGCAGGGTGCTATGGCTATCAACTGGAGTCAACAAAGAGCTTTCTTTTCTTTTCTTCCCTTGCAAAGTGATGTCACAAGGTAAAGAAAAGAAGAAGAGAACCGGAAGATGTTATAATTGAAGCCTCTGTATGTGTGTTTGTGTTTAAGACAGTGAAAGACAGGAACACTCACAGCTATTACCTGAAACAACTTTCTTTTGTAACAACTAATGGCTTGGGGGCAATTTCTTTCCTCGGAACAAAGGGGACCGACAGCCAACACACAGACAAAGACACTCATGCGAGGACTTGTAAACCCATGTACCCATACAGAGACTGAGACACACATTCAACCACAGCATTCAGTGTATTTGCTGTGTGTACACACTAAGATTTAGCTTCAAGCAACAAAACAATTCCCATTGTCTTCATTTGACATACAACTAGGGGCTACAATTTAAACCATATAGTCATGAGAGAAATCCATCAATCCTGGCTAGAGTCAGCCTCCAACACACACACGTCACACACACACACAGCAATCCAATGCCGTCTGAGTCCAAGGAAAACAAGTTAAAAGGGTTAATCCATCTTCTATGGAAGAGACTCACTGTCAGAAATACTGTATACAGTAGCCCCAAGAGTCCATAAAGGTTAAGACACACACTATGCACACACTTATACACACATAGTAGCATGTAGAGGTTTCTCTGGGGCACTGGAGGTTAAAGGTGGTATAGCATTGCCGCAGGTCTGGAAGCTTTAAACAGCATAGATCAGCATGGAATAAAAGCCGAGTCCCTTGAGGTTGGAAAGCATTTTAATGGAGGCTACATTCTTAGGTTGGTTTCGGCAATTTAAGACACTGAAAGATCCCCATGTGAATTTGAGCTGATCTTCAGTATGGAAAGAATATTTCCCTCTGTGGTCTCAGCAGGGTTATTGGCTAGAGACCGTGTTTAACGCTCCGCAGTGTTTTCAAAGTCGCACGACTCCGCCGGGGATGAAAGAGTTAAGCAAACAACCTTCCACTGACTTTGGCAGCACAGTCTTAGAAATGCAGAAGAGGAGGTTTCTTGTTTTGATTTTCACAGGTTGCATGTGGTGCTGAATGAATTTGCAGTTCACAGGGGCTTTGTGTATTCTTCTAAAGATCCCCACCAAAAAAGGAAGTAAGAGTGAGTGTCGAAACTGAAACAGGAGATAATGATGCTACTTTTCTACCACTATTCTAACCCCTTTTAATCTATGCTTTCACATAGAAGAGGATATAAGAGGTATTTTTCATTGGCATGTGAAGGTTGCACCCAATAATTATGTTCATTATCTATCTATCAATCGTCTTGCTAAATCTTTCTATAAAAAAGACTTAAATGCAGAAAAACATTTTATTTTTTTTTTTACTAAAAAAAAAAAAAGAGTTGTTGATAAATATTCTGTTCAACCCGATAAATAAGCAAATAGTTTGATCTATTCCACATATACAGACTGGATGCACAACATGTTCTCTCTACTCTTTAATGGGTGTTTTGAAAAGGATAAAATACAGGAAGACAGTGAAGCATTATACTATGTGTGTGTGTATACAGTACATGCGAGCTGTCAGCTGATATTCAAGGTCACAAATAAATGGTTAACTTAAGATACTGCTGATACAATATAGGAAGATTGCATCCAAAGAAACCCACACATATATTATAAATATATAAACCCAGAAGGGTCACAGCTAGAGGTCACGCATGTTGCCGTATAACAGCCACAACTGTGGTGGTTTCCCCTGGGCGGAGCTGCTACAGCCACTTCACACGGCAAATGATGAAATATAGGCATTCATATGGCACCAAACACACGCATACACACACTCTGCCCGCAATAACACTGACTGACTACAGATGTGTGCTGGCTGGCCCGGGCTAAAGGAAATGGTTGAATAATCATTCCCCTATGATTGCTATTTCTTCAACGCATCACGTCAAGAAAATATGTCTGGGCTGACATTACGCAGACCTCAAGTGGAATTTGTCAATAGTAACCTCCATTCAGAAAATCCAATGGAAACAGCAGAATACAATATGGGCTTATGCACAGGAGCATGGTGGTGTTGTTGGAAAACACTGCTGTGAATTATGGCTATTAAGGTGGAAAGAAAACATGTATGGCAAAAACAAAAAAGCTTGTTCATTTGGCAACATGAATTCATTGGGCAGTATGTTGCATTAACAGGCGTTATGATTATCTGTTAAAACATGTTTTTGCTAAAAAGAAATACACCAAAAAATATGTTTTTATAAACTGAAGAGCTGGGAAGGAGTGAACGAGAAAGAGGGAGGGGGGGAAGTGGCTGTTAGTAATGCTGCATCTGTGTGTATGTGTCAGAGAGAAAGCAGAAAAGAAGCCTCTCTCCTTAGTAGTCATAGCTGTCTCATCAAGTCAGAAACCTGCATTTCCTACCATGTGTATGTGCGTGTGCATTTGCGTTTGTGAGAGAACAGGAGAGCAGTGGACTACAAGAAATGAAAAACAATCTGGAATAAACTGCAGGAGTGGTACAGCCTTGCCACCTTGTTTTCATATCAGGTGATAAAGTTTTTCAACAGTCAGCAGTCGCACACACAAATAGACAAACATAGGGGTGGGCGATATGACGATATATATCGTCGTGACGATATTAGGTCTCCACGATATGCTTTTTCAGAGATATCGTATCTATCGTGATAAAAAAATAAAAATAATTGAAATTTTTTTTTGGAAAAAAATAACTTTAAAAAAACTAAACTGATGTGAAAGACATGCTCTAAAGCTGTCTAGTCAGGATTCAGACAGTATTGCACTTTATTTATTGTCTTGTTTGATTCTGTTGGCTTATATTTTATTTTATCAATAAGGTATTCATATAGTTTTTCCCTTCAGTTATGCTAAAGCATTTATTGCACTTCAAGTCTAAAGTTTACATTTTAATTGTTTGGCACTGACTTTTCCTCATTGATGTTGTATGTTTTACTTACGTTATGTTTTACCCTCCTTTTCATGTTTATTGATGTTCACTGCTAGTGCTACCTCAGAAAGTTCATTTGTATACTGAGAAACTGTGCCTTGAAGCCATATCAAAATGTTGAATTGTTCATTCAGGGATTCATTTCAGAAATAAAACCAGCTTGAAATGGTATTTTGGTCTGTTACTCCTTTTTGTTTTAGTTTCTGTTACCTTGTAGGTGGTTGTACTGTTAAGTAACTTGTTAAATAACCATAATAACCGACATGAAAAAATATCGTGATATATATCGTCTATCGTGATACTGCTTGAAAAATATCGTGATAATATATTTTTCAATATCGCCCACCCCTCACTCACACACAGTACTAGGCATTTTTACGAATGCTGTTGCCTTTTACCTGACATGAGTCTATGCGTCGGTGTGTGCACGTGGCTGGCTCAAAGCGTATCGAGCGATTCTGGGTGAGGGCAGCTCATAAATAATCCAGAAATCTCAGCAGGGGCTTTGAACTTGTGGAATCATTGCTAGAGTTTCTTCAAGAAGAATAAACAAATGAAGTGATGTATTCTGTGAGTGTGTACTGCAAGCATACAAGGGCACTCACATGT